TTTTTTTTTTTTTTTTTTTTTTTTTTTGAGACGGAGTTTCACTCTTGTTACCCAGGCTGGAGTGCAATGGCGCGATCTCGGCTCACCGCAACCTCTGCCTCCTGGGTTCAGGCAATTCTCCTGCCTCAGCCTCCTGAGTAGCTGGGATTACAGGCACGCCCCACCATGCCCAGCTCATTTTTTTTTTGTATTTTCAGTAGAGACGGGGTTTCACCATGTTGACCAGGATGGTCTCGACCTCTTGACCTCGTGATCCACCCGCCTCTGCCTCCCAAAGTGCTGGGATTACAGGCTTGAGCCACCGTGCCCGGCAACCCTTTTCATATGTAATTCCTAAGATGGTAAACTGAAACCCTTTTCATTTGTAATTCCTAAGACTGTAAACAGAGACCCTTTTCATATGTTAAGCTATAAACCTAAGATTCTTCCACTTGTAACATCTAAAGTATAAGCCTATATAAAGAAGGAACCTTCCTTTGTTAGGGGAGCTTGGATATTAGGCAAATATGCCACCTGGCTCCTGGCCGAATAAACTCCTTCCTCCAATATTTGGTGTCCGAGAGATCTGTTTCCTGCGGCCGCTCCTGCTACATTTTGGTGCGTTGGCCGGGAAGCGAGTCTCGAATAGCAGACGGTGGGGAAAAGTCTCTTAGGTGGTTTGCCTAGCCCTGTGGAGCATCCCTGCGGGGGGGGAGGAATCCTGCTCCCTGGGGTGACGTATCCGGAGAGTGCTCCTAGGCAGGTATTTGCCAGGTGGAAAAGCCTTACCAGAGCGGAGCAGGGAGGCCCTGCAGTCCGGATCCACCCAGTGGCTGAACACTGAGGAGGAACGAGCATTTGGGGAAGTCTGGACAACTGAATTTGGTAAGATTGTACCTGGGAAAGTAGCCCACCCCGTTTTGGGTGGAAGCATGGCCTGATCACCCATGGGTGCCAGATCGGCACATTGGAAGGTAGCTCTCTGTTGGATTTGAAGGAGAGCATTTGGATGTGTGTCTGTGTTTGGATGTGTGTCTGTGTCATCGTACCCGGGAGAGTAGCCCATTCCGTTTTGGGTGAAAGCGTGGCCTGATCACCCACAGGTGCCAGATCGGCATGTTGGAAGGTAGCTCTCTGTTGGGTTTGAAGGAGAGCATTCGGATGTGTGTCTGTGTGTGTGGTTGTGTATCCATGTCGTCGAGCTATTTGTAAGAATTAGAGACAGCCACAGAAGGCTGAGTAAAGAAGCCTCTGGGTGTCGCAAAAGGATTGAAGTGAATGTAAATTGGAGCGTGTTCTGTGCTGCATCTTGCTAGGCGGGAACTGCTGTGAGTGAACTGACACTCTCCTAAGTGTGGGAATTATTCCTTTGAATTGTTAATATGGGTCACTCCCATAGTAAGCCCACCCCTTTAGAAATCATGCTGAAAAATTTCAAGAAGGGATTTAGTGGGAATTATAAAGTAACTATGACACCAGATAAATCGAGGGTTTTATGTAGGGAAGACTGGCCAGCGTTTGGGGTCGGTTGGCCCCCAGAGGGGACCCTAGACAGGTCCCTTGTCTCCAAAGTAAGGCATGAGGTTATATACGGTGAGCTAGAACGCCTTGATCAATTTCCATACATAGACTCGTGGTTGCAGTCAGTGTTAAACCCTCCAAAGTGGCTAAGAGAGCAGGCAGCGACTGTTTTAGTAGCCAAGGGATAGACTGCTAGAAACCACCATCCCCCTCACCACCGAGAAACGCAGACTCCCAAGTCCAGGCAAATTCAGTGGCAGAAACAGGCAGGATTTGCATGTATGAATACTTTAGTTATTGGAAGTAGCTAACCAGGCATTTGTAAACCAAGAGGTGGTAAGCCAGAGGGAAAATCACGGGGAAAGGGAACGTCAGGCTCAACGGAAGGCTGACTTGATTGCTGCTATGAGAGGAACACCCCCAAGGGCGTGGAAAAAGAGGGGTTCCTGGAAAGCCCCACAGTCTGCCCGCCTGTGCCTGCAATGCGATCAGTGTGCATTTTGTCAAGAAATAGGACACTGGGGAAAAAATGCCCACAGTTAATGAGAGAACAGGGCGATCCTAAGCATGAGGATCCAGATAAAAAGTGAAGGGGCTCTGTTCAATCTAATGGAAGGGCCACTGGACTAAAAGAGAGGGGGGCCGGACTCATATGCCCCCAAAGAGCCCACAATCTGGACGACAGCCCTGTAACCCCCCATGGAAAAAACCAGAACCAATATTGTTAGAGCTATTAAGGTGTTAAGAGAAGACTTTCTTGTACTTAATGGACTGCCCTGCCCCCTCTTCTCCGGCAAAACCTGTTATGTAAATCAAGGGCCATTATCCCATTCAAAAAGGAGACTCCCTGTAGCTAAAAATGCCTTAGGCAGGGGTTATCCAGGCTCCCATTGTCCCTTGAGAAGGAGGGTGGAGGCTTCCTAGCCAGAAGCAGGTGTAACCACTCAATACACCTGGACCCAGCTTCCCAGGGGCTCAAAAACTCTCTCATCATCTTTGGGGAGGCATCAGCCCGTGACCGCCCCCCAGAAGCTTCTTGCTTGCATGCTGCCCTTGTATGCTGATAACCTTCTATTGGGACACCCCACGGCAGTCGGGTGTACAAACAAATGCCTTACTTCGGCACCTGGAGGACTGTGGATATAAAGTGTCTAAAAGGAAAGCCCTGATTTGCCAAAAAGCAAATGTAGTATCTGAGGCTTACCATCTGGAAGCGGGAAAGCAGCCTAGAAGCAAAGAGGAAGCAAGCCGCTTGCAGAGTGACAGAACCTGAGACTAAAAGGCAGGCAAGAGAGCTCCTGGGAGCGGTGGGTTTTGTAAATTGTGGATTTCCAAACTTCGCAGTACTAGCCAAACCCCTCTATGATGTGACAAAGTGGGGAGACAAGGAGCCCTTTGAATGGGGATCCCGGCAGCATCAGGCCTACCAGGAACTGGAAACAAAACTAATGTCAGCTCCAGCTTTGGGGCTGCCTGATTTAACAAAGCCCTTCACATTATATGTGGCAGAAAGAGAAAAAGTGGCAGTTGGGGTCCTAGTCCAAACAGTAGGACCTTGGCCCAGGCCTGTAGCTTACCTCTCCAAGCAGCTGGATGGAGTTTCCAAAGCCAAAGGATGGCCCCCATGCTTAAGGGCCCTGGCAGCAACTGCTCTGCTGGCACAAGAAGCAGATAAGCTAACTCTGGGAAAGAACCTAAATATCAAGGCACCTCACACAGTAGTGACTCTAATGAATACCAGAGGGCACCACTGGTTATCAGATGTTAGGCTGACCAAATACCAGGGTCTGCTATGTGAAAATCCCCACATCACCATTGAAGTCTGCAACACCTTAAACCCTGCCACTTTGCTCCCAATGTCAGAGGGTCCCGTTGAACACAACTGCGTTGAAGTCCTGGACATAGTCTATTCCAGCAGGTCTGATCTTCGGGATCAGCCATGGACAGTAGCAGACTGGGAGCTGTATGTGGATGGGAGCAGCTTTGTCAATCCACGAGGGGAAAGATGCGCAGGCTATGTCGTGGTAACTCTGGACACTGTAATCGAGGCCAAATCCTTGCCTCAGGGCACCTGAGCTCAGAAGGCTGAACTCATTGCTTTAACTCAAGCCCTAGAGCTGAGTAAAGATAAGGTGGTAAACGTTTACTCTCGTTATGCCTTTCCAACTCTCCAAGTACATGGAGCACTGTACAAAGAGAGAGGCCTGTTAACTTCAGTGGGAAAAGAAATAAACTTTCAGCATGAAATCTTGCAGCTGCTAGAAGCAGTCTGGAAGCCCCAGAAAGTGGCGGTCGTGCATTGCCGGGGACATCAGTGGGCCCACACCTCCATGGCCCTGGGAAATTCCCGAGCGGATTCAGCAGCTAGTAAGGCAGCATCTACCCCTTACTGAATAGCAGTTACAGCCCCGCTGATTCCCCAGATCCCTAATCTAATGCCTACTTACTCTAAGGAGGAAAGAGACTTTCTCCAGACAGAAGGGGGCAACTGATTAAAGAAGGATGGACCCAACTGCCAGATGTAAGAATAGCAGTGCCACAGCTGCTGGGGGTAGCAGTTGTACAAGCCGTACAACTCATTTAGGTCAAGAGTCGCTTGAAAAGATGTTGGGCCAGTACTTTTACATCTCACACTTAGCAGCCTTGACCAAAACTGTGGCACAGCGATGCATTACATGTCGGCAACACAACGCGAGTCTGGGTCCAGCTATTTCTCCTGGAATTCAAGCTTATGGAGCAGCTCCGTTTGAAGATATCCAGGCAGACTTTATTGAAATGTCCAAGAGTGGGGGACATAAGTGTTTGTTGGTCCTGGTGTGCACATACTCTGGATGGGACTGAAAGAGCCCATGAAGTAATCTGTGTGCTGCTTTGAGATCTTACCCCTACGTTTGGACTGCCACTGCACATCGGAGCAGACAGTGGACCAGCATTTGTGGCAGATTTAGTCCGGAAAACAGCAACGGCCTTGGGTATCACCTGGAAACTGCACACTGCCTACTGACCCCAGAGTTCCAGAAAAGTGGAAAAAATGAACCGGACCATCAAAAACATCCTAGGGAAAGTGTTCAGGAAACAAGATTAGAGCGGGTGCAGGCACTTCCCTTGGGGTTATTCGAAATTAGAGGCACCCCCTTTAGGAAAAACAGGATATTCCCCTATGAAGTCTTATAACATAGGCCCCCTTCCCTACTTTGGGCATCTCTAGGAACTCCTCGGGAGTGGGGAGAGATTGAGTTAGATGCTAGTTACCAGCTCTAAGGAGAATTGCTTAGGATACTTCAACCTAAGTAAATAACAAATGTCCTGTAAGCCTTTTTCTCCCCGGTTCACCCTTTCTCACTAGGTAATCATGTGTGGATAAAGGACAGGAGTACAGCCCCTCTAAAGCCACAATGGAAAGGACCTCAGACCTGATCCTGACCAATCCCACAGCCGTGAAGGTAGAGGGAATCCCAGACTGAATCCACCTCAGCCGTGTCAAAACCGTCAACAGCTGAGACTTAGACCAAGGCAAGGACTGCAGAATCACCTTAAGAAGGACAACAAGCCCTGCTCCAGCCTCATCCCGAAAGCTGGCTGGTCCACGCACGGCCGAAGCATGAGGAGATTCATCGTGGGACTTGTTCTTCTTAATATTTGGACTTGCACAGTAGGGACATTAACTAATTTTGAAGAATGCTGTCAGTATGTACACCAGGTAGGATGTAAACGTTGCTGCCATTTTTTTGTCCTGCGGTTCTTATAAATGTATGGGAACACAGAAGGGAACCTGTTTATATAATGGTACTCAGTGTAAGGTGTGTAATCTGTGAGATGGACAGGTAGCTGTGTCATAGGCATCATTAAGCCCTCTTTCTTCCTATTATCTGTTAAGATAGGTGAGCTGTTAGGGCATCCAGTTTCCTCCAATAGGGAGAAGAGAGATCTAAAACTAGGGAATTGGACAGATGATGAG